TAAAAATCCAAGAATTTAAACATTTACGTTATTTAATGAAATATTTCACGCTCAAAAGTTCTTTTCAAAAAAAAGGCGAATTAAAGTTGCGAAGTGTGTTCTTTGCGCCAAAAGCGGATTTTATTTAAGACCCTATGATTCGAAATACATAAGAATATGCGCCCCAAGATCATAGCTATGCGATTTTAATGTTAATCTAATGAATTAATGTTGGCTTCGACTTAGTTTTGAGCTCTCTATTGTTGATGTTATGGTGTGGGCATTTAAATTGGAAAACTCAGTTTTTAAAGATATATCGAAAGCAAATTGAAATGTTCTAAGTGTTGAGAAATAGGCATTAAGGACTCAGCAATGAAATAAGTTTCCTCCATTTCTCTAGTTGTTTAAATATATGTATGATAAAATATTAAATTTTTTCGTAACTCTTGATGACAAATTATGTAAAAGTAAACTTCAGAAAATAGAGTAGGTGTGCTAATATTTTATTGACTCAGTGTTCACACAATGTTCTCCGAATGACAACAAAATATTTGGTATTATGTTTTTTGTTCTCATTAAATTGCAACTTTTTTCTGCAACTATGTATGAGGTTTATTCGTAAGTTCTTAGAAGTAGGGACGGCTTCAGCTGATGTCCCAAGAAGGTATTTGAAGTATTTGATAAATGTGACATTTAGTTGAACAGACAGATAGCTAGACACATACATACATACAAATGTATGAAATGGCATTAAGAGTAGATTTCAAAATTAGTTGCTCATGAAGGTGCGCAGCTGTTTGGGATCCCCAGAAACCATGGCTTTAATGCGAATTACAATAATAATGAGATTATTGTTGGGCATTGTGAACTTTTGTTGTTGTTGTCTGCTTCTTATTCTTCTTCTTCTGTTAATTTAAAGGGGGCAATGTACTTGAAAATATTTTAAAATATCATTAAGCTTTATGAACTTTTTACTTAGTTGCTAGCTGGCTAAACGGGAAATAATCCCCGCATTTAAAATGCTGTTATCAGAGCTTGGGTAACTTTTCCTTATGCTGGACAGAAGTTTTCACTACCACCCCCTTACCCCTTCCCCTCCCCCACTCCCACTCCTCTTTCTCACTCTGCCGCACCTTTTGGCACTCTCGCTTGGCACTCGCTCCCCTGGGCAAATGCAACAGATTTGCGCTGAAGCTAAAAATAAACGCAAAGCGTTGGGCGCAATAATTTCGCTGCCTGTGGGCGGAAGCGCCCGTTTCTACACACACACACGCACACACACACACAGGTGCACGCAACAAGCTCCTAATTGCATAATTTTTAATGTGCAATTAACTTGAGAGTTGGCTCCATTGATGTCATTGCTTTTGCTGTTGTTTTGAAATAAAAAAGCGAACTTTTTTTGATTGCACCTTTTTGTTCTAAATATGTATGTATAAACATTGTTTGAAACTATTTTAATTAAATATTAAAAGTTAAGTAAGTTTCAATTGAATTCCTGCAAATTGCTATTTCTGTTGTTTACTTATTGAGATATTTTAACAAACATAAACGTGTTCAAATTATTTATTTGTTGATCTAATTTCTTTAGTGACTATTGTAAAATACACGTTTCATGAAAAAAAATTAATGTATTTTAATGACACACTTTGCAAAGCAAGAAATACATACATACATACAGCTTTGTGTAAATAATAATTGCAATGCCCACAACAAACAAAGACAGCTGTTTAAAAGCATATAAATGAACATACATACATACATACATACATATATGTATCTCTAAGTGTTTGTAAGTATTTCAAGCGCCAAGCCGTTAATTACTTAAGCAACACAAAATGCATACTTTTAAGTACATACATATGTACATATGTATGTATGTAGGTAAGCATGTTAATATGTACATACATACGTATGTATGTATGTATGTGCACACGTCTTATTTGAAAGCCAAAAGAAAAAGGGCTGTTACAACAACATTACAAGCATATTTCATAAATTAAGCCACAACAACAACACCATTACAAATACTGCTGCAATACACGAAAGCAACATAAATTGTAAATACGTGTGAAAGAAATAAACAGCAACATATGAAAGAAGAAAAAAAAATAACAAATTAAAATAAAATAAAAAAGGCAACAGCCCAAAAAGCAACGAAAATTCGTACAAAGTTCATTGACTTTGTTTTACAGTGAGCTGCGCGTGTGTTGTTGTTGTTTCTGCTACTGCTGTTGCGGCTGGTTTTGTTGTGCGAGCGCGCCAACGACATTCATACACTCACACACACAAACACAAATATACACACGTGTTAATGTTTTGTTTGTTTGTCTTTGCAAAGTAAGAAAATAAGCCACGCACTTTGGCAAAAACAATTGGCACACGCTCTTCTCTCGGCGCTCTCTCTCTCACCGTCTCTCACGCTCACGCTTTTATGAGAGCAATACAAACAAAGAGTAAGTGTTGTGCTCACGAGGGCCTCTGTTTGTCTCACACTGTTGTTGTATTGCGATTCATCATAAACAATAAGCTATGTGGTTGTGTGCGTGTGTGACTGTTGGTGAAAATACATGACTATGACTAATTTGTTTTTTTCATTTTTTCGTGCCAATCCAAAAAAAAAAAAACAAAAAAAAAAACAATATATTACTACACATGGTTGCGCTTCGTCTGCTGCTGCTGTTTGTACACATTGTTGCTCCAAGCTGATAGCCATATGTTATGTTGTTGTTCATTTCAGGGTGGTGGGAGAAGGGAGAGAGTGCTAGAGAGCGAATGCAGTCGAGAGAAAGAAGCTGGAAGCAACAACAGCAACAAGTAAGCTCAGTTGCAAAGCAAACAAAAAAAATAATGAAGTGCTAGAATCGGTCGGGCCCGTGAATATTAAAATTCCGGTACTTCCCACAAAATAACTGAAGTCAAGTAATTTTCATTAAATTCTGTATCTTGAAATAACACATATGTATGTACATACGTATGTATATATGTTTGTGTCTGCTGTAAGTATGCAGTACAGAGTTCACCGAAAGCAACAACAGCAGCTGCTGAAAGAGCATGGACAGTGTTTACATTTAGTTTACACAGCGTGTAAAACGTAGCCGAACCTTTCTTTATTTGTGCATAATACAAATACATACATACATACACATGTACATATGCACATTTGTATGTGTTCATCAAAGTGGCGCATTTGTTTTATTTGTTAAAAATGATGAAGCAGAAAAAGCCACAAAACGTATAAGAAGGCAATAAAGCAACAAAAGCCAAATGAGCACAACAAAATCGACAGACCAACAGACAGAGAAGAAATGAAAATAAATTTCAAAAATAAATCATAAATAAATTAAATAAAATTAACAAAAACAACACAATGCGCCAAGCACAACGAGCGCTAGCACGTTGGCCGTGCAGCAGCAGCAGCAACAGCAGCGGCCACGCCACAACGTGTTGTTGGCCAAGGCAACAACAACAATACAACACAACTACGAAATTTGGCACACACGCCAAAATCGCAGCGCGTATAAACGAATGAATAAAGCGAACGCTAAGCTGAACAGAGCTGAGCTGAGCTGAGCTGAGCAAACAGCAGGCAGCAGCGAATTGCACGCACTGTGGTTTCGTTAGCATTTGTACAATGGCAAACAATTTCAAGTTCAATTAGCTCTCTTTTACTTTTAATATTTTATTATGTGCAGTACATTGTGCATACATACATATATGTACATACATATGTATGTATTTATGTATGTATAATGATTGAAATATAATTCAATTTGGTTTACTAGCTCCAATAAGAACTCCCCAAGTTCTGCACTCCCTTCAACATTTTTAAATTCCAATTCCACTGTGCCCGTTGCAGAAACGTCGACGCGACGCTTGGATAAAAATATAACAGTACCTGCTGCCAGCCACGCTTGCAACCTGTACAGCAACAACTTGGCACACACACACACACACTTTTGGTAGCCCCCCCCTTTGTTGTACAGTAAGAGCACCCACGCAACAAACTGCAGGCTTGTATACATACATACATACATATGTATATGTATGCATTAATACAATAAGACAGCTGCTGTCTGTTAAGTTATACAGTTGTTGTTATTGTACTGTTATTGTTGCTGTTGTGACGCGCAAACAAGGTCAAAACAAGTTTAAATGCAACACATACACGAGACATCCACAAAGAGAGAGGGAAGGCAATCAAAGAGCATAAGCGTTGAGAGCGAGCGCAGGCGAACAAATTAAAAGAGCAACGGCGAACAGTTGCAGAGAGGAAAATGCAGCGGCTGCTTTTGCTTCTGTGGCTGCATTTCTAATTGCTAGCATGCATTTATTTGTGAATGTTTGTTTGTTGACTGTTTGTGTATTTTGTATTTGTATGTGTTAGTGTATGCAGTTTGTTTTGTTGGCAGACACAGCGTCGAGCAGAAAATATTCATCGTCGATGATAATGAGCTGATGAGAGTTTGATGAAGAAGTGGATGCCAGACTCAGAGCCAGTCGGCAAGTACTCGACTTAATATTACGTTTAGACAGCCAACAAAATTTCACAAACTCGATCAGTTCTAACATGTTTATTCAGTTAATAAATGCTTTCCATCAATAAAATACATGCATAGATACATATACATACATATACATATGTACATGGACACCATGTGTTTTCAATTGAACACAATTTAAGTGCTCCATCGTTCCCAATGTTTTAATAGCATGAAAAAACCTATGTATGTTACATTTCCCCTTTTCATTTATCTTTTTCAATTACTTGTTATAAAAAGTTATTGCTGATTTTTAATTGTTAAAGCGATCCCAAAAGAAATCTAAAGAGAATAAAAAAATAAAATTTCATCAAAATAAAAAAAAAAAAAAACTTGTAAGTAAAGTTTTAAATAGATTTTATGTGGACTTTCTGAGTTTTGTGAAATTTGTTTGCAGTGTCTCTCTTAACGGCACATTAATCCGTTCTCTATGATTGCGATTACTGGTAATTGTTTCTGTTACTCTCTTTTTGCACTCACCAGAGATACTGCGGCCTTCGCTGCTCCGCGACGCCTCCACAATGCCAACCAATTGGCCATTGCTGTTGTTGTTGTTGTAGTTGTTATTGCTGCTGCTACTGCCGAATTCATAATCATGAGCAACAACTAATTGACTGCCATTATGTGGACTGCTATGACCATTGCTTAGTACACCGACGTTGACGTTGACGCCGCCGACACCGCCACCGTTAATGTTAACGATGCCGTTGGTATACGCTGACGTTGCAACCGTTGTTGCTGCTGCAATGCCGTTAGTTAAGCCGTTATGACCATTTACGACGATGGTGGCGGGTGTTGTTATTGCTACTGCTGTTGCGGTATTATTTCTGTTATGCTGGCTCGTGCTGTTGTTGTTGTTGGCAATGCCGCTCTTATTGTAGCTGCTGCTGCCGCTGCCGCTGTTATTATTGTTGTTGCCATTGATGAAATGCAATTGTTGTTGCGCTGCAACGCTACCGCTAAGTCCTCCAATGCTTGCGATGTCGATGCCGACGCCAACGCTATTCTCTAGCGCCGATAGTTTTTTCGCATGCCGCTCAATATAGTCAGCAGCTTTTATGAGCGTACTTATGTTGTCACTCGCTGACATAGCCGCCGCGTCAATACACAGCCGCCTACACACTCACACTCACGCACACACACACACACACACGCGCGCACCACGCAGTCGAACACACACACACGCACACACACACAATAACAAAGACACAGAGAGGAGCACAGTTTTCGTTTTAATGTTGATGTTGCTGTTGTTTTCAAGTCGACTGCGTTGCGCGATGTCTGCTGCTTGGCTTGTTCTTGGCTGGTTGTTGTTGTTGTTCTTGTTCTTGTAGCTGTTGCTGATGCGTGGGCAGAGTGGTTGCTGTTGCAATAAGCACACAGTTAGTTTCGGGCTGCTTGTTTGTAATTTTATTTCCTTTTTAAACGCTGCAATAACAGATAAGAAAACGGTAACAAACCTAATTAGCATACATGTTAGAAAAATATCTACATACATACATATGTACACGCGAGCAATAAAAACAATACAGTCGGCGTGTACAAGAGCCGACAACAAATTCCAATTGGAATTGGTTCCTTACATAGAATGAATATCAAGCATTTCTGGGATAAATATACAATTTGATTAAAAAAAAGGTAATAATAGATTCTGCTATTAGTTGATACTTTTTAAACTTATAAATTCTTTAACTTTCTCTTTATTAAATATTGTTTTAAAAGTAAAGAACTGTTAAGCTCAACATTGAAACTTTTGTGGGGTGTGCGGGATTGCGATATAACATGGCGCTGTAAAGCTAACAGCAGCGCCGCTTTATATTTTTGTCGCTGTTGTTGTTTCAAGTAGCAGCTGTTGCGTTTGCGCTAATTGTGCACAGCTGCGTGGCGGCACAACAAACGCACTCACACTCACACACACACACACACACATACACGTGCTCTAGTAGTGATAACAACAAGCGTAGCCCTCGAATACAGGCAGCAGTAGCAGCAACAACAAGTTGTGAAGCAAATGGGGACAGACGACTGATTCTGTTGTTGTTGTTTTTTTTTTCATTCTGAAAAGCAAGCGGCGCGCATGCGCCGTTAACGTTTACGTCAGCGTCAATGGCGGACTGTTGCTGCTACTGTTGTTGTTGTTGATATTGTGTATTATGTATTATGATTGGTCTATGTGGAGCAATTGAGGCGGCGACCCAAGAAGGAACAGAAAAATTATTGAATTCATTGTTTGTCATAAAGACGGCGTTCATCATAATTCATGTGCAACAAAAGGTCAAGGGTCGAGACAGCAATATTGCTGCACCTGGCTAGCAGGCACGCACACAAATACACACACACACATACGATTGTCGTACATAGGGATCAGGACAATGCCGCAGCCGGCTCGTCTCCAAGCCAAATAAAACGAGAACAACAACAACAAAAAAGCACGCGTCTGTTTACAAAATGCAGACAGCTGTCGGTAAACTCTTATTGCACCCTCAAAGCGGAGAGCGAGAGAGCGGCAGAAAGAGTGCGTGCTATGTGTAAGCTTTTGTGCTCTTCGCGTGGGCGTTTCAGTCCTTGGGAGAGAGAGAGAGAGAGAGAGAGAGAGACAATAACTTTGCCTTGACATTAAACGCGGGTTGATGGTCGCTGGGCTCTTTCATTTCCGTAGGGTCTGCTGCGCGGGGAGGCCGGAGTGAGAGGCGGAGGGGTGGGCTCTCACTTGCCAAGGGTTGCCAGGCACACTTTCGTTAGCTGGGGGTTGTCTCGAGGTGTCGTGCGTCAAACGTTGACATTTTCATTTTGGCCAAAGGTGAAAATGAGGCGCAATAAAAAAGAAAAGCACGCAAAAGAGTGTGGGAGAAAAAACACTCTCTTACGCACAACGGTGTGATGGGGAGGGGGAGCGGATTGCTGCGGTCAGACAGGCAAATAATTTTCACACAAACTCAACAAAAATCTAAGTTATATGCAATTGGAGAACTTCAATAGCATTTCTACTGCTCTTCCAATAGAAAATAAAAAAAATGGTGTTAATTATTTGCGTATTCGACCGAATTCAGCGACATTATGTGGCCGATTCATTCTGTTGCATATTTCAATGTAAATCGTTGTAGCTGCGCAGAAATCCATGAGGATAATAATTGCCTTCACACTCACGCACACAGCTATATGTACATATGTATACCGAAAAGCAACAAGAGAAAAGAGTGGAAGAAGGAGCAAAAGGAAAAGATAAGGGTAGTGCCACCCTCACTACCCACCACCCTCACCGGCACCCACTCAGAAGCAAACGAATAAACGAAGGAACGAACGAAAAAAAACAAATCCTTTCTCAAAAATAGGTTTGAAACGTGACTTTGTAAAAAAGGAGGCGGAACATTTAAAATTGATAATAATAATAATGGGGAGGATGGGGAAGGGGTTGATGGGAGGGGATCAGAAACGTGAAATGTGATTGCTTTTTGGGACAATAATTGGCATGCAAGGAAGCCAAGGCTGGTACGACGAAATGACTTCTGGTACATTGCACACATTGCAAGGAAGCGAGCAGGAAACATCCATTCTACCTAAGAACTTGAAGCCGTCGTTCGTCCTTCGCAAATAATCCACCCTATGCTGTGTATTATGCATGCATGCATGTGTCCTGGGATCATTGGTCCGGCCTTTGGTCGCTCGACGTCGACATGTCATCATATTTCCCAATACTTTATGGCTGGCGGAGTTCAGTTCGCCTTTCTTTCTTTCTTTTCTGCCTTCCATGTCTTTCAAAATTCAACCACTCTTTATTTACCCGGCCGTCGTCTATTCAATTCGTTCAATGTCCTGAATGCCCGAGAGCATCGTGTGAAACGCAAAAAGTTCCTTGTACCTGGCCCTGGGCCCAGAAAGGGGGTTGTCGCCTGCTTGCTTCCAGTCCGCCCTTTTTCTTTTTACAGTGAAAATGTATAATCTTATAAAACACTTGAGTGTTTGCCGGCCAGGACAATGCTAAGGGCAGAAGCCAGGGGCAAGGGCAAGGACCAAGCGACAGGCGAGAAATCATTACGCAGCAGTTGGTGAAAATCAAGTCAATACGCAAAAGGTAGAATAAAAACGGGAACATACTGGAAAAGCCGCAAATCGACTTTTGAAATTGTAAACCCGTTAATGAGACCCAAATTAGTTGAGTTTGTGGTCGATTGCCTGAAACATGATATGTTGAAAATAATATCCTCTACCCCCCACATACATACGAGTAAATAGTGTTTTGGATTTCTTGAACATAAGGGACATGTGTGATTAGGTAGAAAAGCTTCATTCAAGCGAAAAAAAACCTCCAGAAAAGTTTAATGCGGCAGGTACTGGGGATACTTGACGTTCTATCTACAATTTATAATTAAAAACATGAAGCAAATAGTTCCTAAGGTAAAAAGAGGTTAATTTATTTATAATAAAAAGTTAAAATGGCTGAGAAAGAGCTCAGCAGAAAAGAAATTTTGGGTTAAACTGTTCAATGCTTGAGAAGTTCTGGGTATTGCTGACTAAAAGCAATCCATTGAAAAGACTGTTACTTGGAAACATTTATTACAAAGTTTGCAAGAAATGAACAAACATGCCTTTCATTATTTGGTAACTCCCCCTCTCTACACATCAACAAATTTTTTGCAAGCTACGCTTCTTTTCTTTTGGCGAATTTCTTTTTACTCTTTCGTCCGACGTCGTGGTAGAAAGTGAATTGAAATATGACGCAAAGCTAGCCGTACACAAAAAGAAAAAGAGAAAGAAGAAGAGGGGGAAAAAAAGAAGTTGCAAACAAGCGGGGAGACGAAGGGAATTAGTTTCTTCGAAAATTCCTATAACGTGTTTATGTTTCGCACATGGCGAAAGAAATGAGGAGAAACACAGACACACACACACATAGACACATACATAGACACACACATGCATTAGCTTTGCAATTCTGCACATGTTGTCCCAGGTTGTTGTTGTTGCTAATTTTGAAATGAAGATTGATGAAGCATGTGCGCGCTTTTTGCCTTTGGAGCGTGCTACTAGCTCCGCCTCCTCTCCTCGTTTCTTTTAACAACTGCTCCTGTCGTTGTTGTTGTTGCTGCTGGTGCCTTCTTAAAAATAGCAACAGCGAATACACAAATCACAGGCTAAATGGGTAGTTCTGGCCCTTCCCCCCATAGCCGTCTGCATTCCACGCGGACTTATTATTATTATTTGTATGTGAGGGTGGGGTGTAGACAAACATCATTAAATCACAAAATAGTGAAGAAGAGATCTGAGAAGACAGCTCTGACTGACTATATACCCTCTACAGTTTCTTCTACAACGTCTTAGTGATATCAGGAGTTGACTTCAATATGTTCTTGGGTTCTTGGTGCTCTGATCGAGCTGGTCTTTATAGGCTATGCATAGTCTTATAGGACAGAAAGACAGATTTTCAACCCATTTGAGCTTTAGTCACACGTACATTCTAGCGTATTCATACAACACAACATGCCCCTGCTTTTTACTAAAGGGGCAGGGTATTTCGAATAAAAGGACATTTAGTTAGTCCATTGCGTGTTGCGTCGCAGTTACAACAAACCAGCAAAGCAATGACAGCGCTGTCGCTGCCGGCGTCAGCGTCAACGTCGGCCTCACTCTATTGCCCTTTTTCCCTTACTTGTTTGTTTGTTTGTTTCTTGGTGTTTGTTGTTACAGTGCGTGTTTGGTTACTCATTAGAAGGCCCCGCCACCAAACTCGATGACAGACAACGAGGCAGCGCTAATGCCACAAAGAGTGTTATTCTTGCCTTAAAAGTCCGTTTAAATAGTGTTTTGGTCTTCTGTTTAGAGCCTTAGCTATGTAGTCTAAAATTTATTAGGAAAATACAACACGATGTATCTGCTAGCCTATCAGTTGATTATCGTACTTGCCTTTCTCAGGCTTTTTCAGTCAATCCTAATCAGAGAGGAGAGAAGTACTGGAAAAAAGTCTCCTTTCGAAGCACTTTAGTGGAATGTTGATAACTGCGTCATATACATATGTGAAGTGGATGGACTCTCAGACATCTTCACTAAGCTAAGTCGTATGTATGCCAAAACAAAACAAAAAAAACCATACAGTGGACCACTCCTAGGTTTTCAAGTATTTTATACCGCCATAAAATATCAACAACAAAAAGAGTCTCCCCATATCCCAATAAACAAACAAACATGCATACAAACATACATACATACATATGTACGTATACAAGCAACAAATAGCCTCTCCCTATGTAAGCATTCCTCATTCTAATCTGGCATGATTCAAGAGCTTTATATTTGGAAATTATTAATATCTGCATAGTTTAGAAAAACAGAAGCGAAACAAAATAGTTTGGTGAACAAAACTAATTGAAATCATGTGTTAAGATTATAGTTTCCGTTAACGAAACAATTCTATTCCAAAAAAACAGCGTACATGTATTTATTAGCTATTTCGATTCATAATACATCCCCCTCTCTCTTCTCCTCCTCTCACTCTCTCGCTCTCTCTCTCACTATCAAAGGGCAACATTCTTAGAGCTTTAAACTGCATTTATGTTCACATATTTTTTTTAGTTTTTTATGATCATCGAACGGTATACATATATACCGTATATGTGTATTTATGCGTGTGTGTGCAATAGGATTTCCGTGTGTATGTAAGTGTGTGTGTACGCATGTGTCATATTTTTTCAATATTATTTTGTTTATGCACACATCATCGCCTCGTCATTATCATCAAAATTGATTTAAAACAATAAAAGCCGCATACACACACACACACACACATACACGTTCGGACACATTTACAGATAAGCACGCGCTTTGTGGCACTGAAAAAAAAAAAAGCTCATGCGCGTACACACACACATAGACACACGTGTACAGCACGCACTCACGTTCTGGAGAAGCGCAAAAGAAAGAAATATAAAAAAGCTCATTCAAAAAGAAATAATTTTAGCACATTTTTGTTTGCACTTTGACACAAATTAAGCAGAGAGCCATCAACTTTTGGCAACCACTATACTGTACACCCACACATTTATACATACTTTGGTTGTTTTTCAGCGAAACAGCTAGATTTATGCACTTTGCAGAAAATGTTTGTTTATTTGATTTTTCATTTAAATATCATTTATTTGTGTATTGCAAAAAAAGAACTGATGCAACTCTTTTAGCGCTTGCGGCTGCGACAACAACACGGCGTCGACGACGCGCACGGCACGAGCAAACAACGTATAGTGAAACGTTAGCGTCAACGGAGCGACTGCGGGTACGGCATCGACAACGTTGACAAACTGGCAATTACAAAAAAAAAATAAAACGAAGAGAGTGAGCAAGAGCAGAGAGAGAGGAGAGCCTCCTCACTGAGCGAGCAACTGTGTCGTGTCTATGTGTGTACGTGTATGTGTCTGTTTTTGTTGCTGTTGCTGTTGCTTCGACCCATTGGGGGAACACGTAGGCCAGTCAGTCAGCCAGCTATGTAGCTAAAAAGACCGTGTCATGTGTTCGTATGTACATATACATATGTGTGTCAGTGTCTGCGTGAGTGTGTGTAGGCGAAAATTGTAGAAGCAAGCAAAAGCACGCGCGCATGACAAACGTGTCTGTGCATGTTGCTGCGCTCCAACATGTCACCCCACCCCATGCCTGCTTCTTAGCCATCCAACTACCCCACCCACTCCTGATTTCTATAAACCAAGCGCAAGCTCCAACACCCCCATCCCCCTCTCCCGCACAAAAAACAACAACAATTCAAAATACGAAAAAAGGGCACATGCTAAAAGCAAAGCTGACGAACTGGTGGCGATGTCGACGTCAACGTCTGCGTAAGCTTCGACTGCGCCGAACTGGTCTGCTGTGCTTTACAACTGAGTGCTGCTGTTACTGCTTCTTCTTCTTCTCTACCTGCATACGCAAGCTGCGCGCATTGCTATTATTATTCTTGTTGTTATTGTTGGTCTTGTTGATATGCAGGCAACAGCCGCAAAAAAATAAGCTGAAGCTGGACACTTCTTTGACAGCACAACGAGACTGCACTTTGCACTGAAATTACTTTTACCGTTAGTTTGGCACTATAACAACAACAACATTGATACGCGGGTGCATATTACATTATTATTAACACCGTTTTTAAAAAACACACTATATGTGCGTGTATTTGTGTTAGTTTCTGTTGTTGTTTTTGAGCCACATTCACTCACTTCCAAAAAAAAACAACAAAGAGAATAGAATATATGTATGTAGAAGTACAACAACAAACAATACATACACGAGAGCACCACACCACACACTAAACTAAATATTCAAATTGAAAAAACAATTTTTTTTGTTCAGCTGCTTCGAAGGTTCTTAGCTGGTTTGTTGTTTGTATATTTTTTGTACATATAACAATTTTTATACTTTTTTCTATGTTATTTCTCTGTTTTCTGCGCTACCCGCACAATGCAATGACACAAGCAAACTAAACGATGGCGCTGTCGCTGCCTTTAACTTTGGCTGTTGTTTGGCTTACGCTGACGACGACGCTGACGACGCAGCATTCGCAAAACAACAAAAGCAACATCGCAGTAGCAGCAATGCAGCAGCAGCGCAGAGAAGACGGCGCAGTCAAACAACAACAATGAAGCAGCAGCAACCCTCCAAAGTTGGAGCGTGTGAGAGCTACGCGACGCAATGCAAGCCAAAACTAAAGAGAGAGAAAGAGCGGGAGAGCGTGAGCGCACGTGACGCGTTGGCTGCGTGTTTCGAGTGTTTGTTGTTGCTTGTGCTTGTGCATAGCGAAACAGGAAGAAAATAACAACAACAACTGCACAAGAGGCAGCGCTGCTGCTATGTAATTGTAATAGCAGGCAGCAGCATGAACAGAAAACGGGAATATTATTTACGGGAACATTAGGGTGGCACTTAAAACGGCAGTTGGGCCGACAAAATGTAATACGAGTACAATTTTAATGAACTTTTAACAAATGCTTGCTTTACATTATGTATGTACGTATGTATGTATATATGTACATACAATATTCTTGCGCAGCTTAAAATTTAAAATGTCTATGGCAAACTGATGAAGAAGGGAGGCTGTGGAGGGGCACACTTTATTCGATTTTGCTAATGGGCATCAAATTTCGGAAGACTCATTTGGTTACTGTTGGTGCTTTGTGTTGGCATGCGGGAAACTTATTAATGTACATATGTATAGGCATTTCAGAATTTAAAGTATGTACACACATACTATGTATATAAGTATGTAGATTTAAATAAACAAAACAAACACAATCATTATCAATAGTGTTATGTTAAATACATACAATGTACATATACGAGCTTGTAAATCATAATAAATATTAGTGGATTGATTTCGCCTTTTTAGATCAATCTCATTTTGTTAAAATATTTGTGATAGAATATATGTATTTTAAGTGAGATGATTACATAAATGGAAAATTGGCATGCATTACATATGTATGTACACACATATGTACATATATGCAGTTACAAATGGATGTAAACATATGTACAAGCATAACAAAATTTCTTGTCAATTTCCTTAATGTGACAATAAACATTGATTTTGGAAATATAATTTTTTTCTTGAAAAATTTTTTTTATTATTAATATCCAACCCAAATAATAAAGAGAAATACCATGCGAAATAAAAAGGTCTATAGAAAGCTGGATGATAGAAGAAGAGATTCCATACTATCAATCGTTTCAAAAAACTCAGTAGTAGGGGGAGTAGTGCCTGTTAATTTTATTTGTATTGGAGAGGCAATAGATTTGTGCAATTAAGTGCGCTGCGATTTTTGGAACCAGCCTAATATGCTGCATATCGTTGCCGCCTGCTTATGCTTCGAGCTGCTGGAACGGCTTCTTTACGATATGTTGTATGCATGTACATACATACATATGTAAGCACTGTAAGTACGATTTTTTCGCTTTTTCGTCGCAACGTCACTGTTTCTTCCACATCAGCAGCAGAAACAGTAGTACACTACATGTGTGTTTATATATACATACATAGATATATAAATACATACATACATGTGTACTTAAACTTTAGTGCGCTGATGTTATTATGCTTTGTTATTGTTGTTGCTTTGGCCGAAGCGTCATCCGCTGTAAGTTGTTACATTAGTTTTATTTTTTGAGCTGCTGCTGCCGCTGCTGCTGCTTTTTATGCACTGTTTGTTTCATTTTCCAAATGTTTTGTATTGCTTGGGCTTTGTTATTGTTATGATGCGTTGTTGCTTCTCTTGCTCTAGATGATGCTGTTGTTGTTGCTGTTGCTGTTGCTGTTGCTCATGATGCTGATTTCGAAACGTGTTGGCATTTGCGTGGAACGGAACTTGTTTTGATATGCATGGGCGACGTCGCAGTCGCAGTTTCAGTCACAGTCGACGTCGCTGCTGCGGCATGGCCAAGGTTTGGTGCCTGGGCAAAACTTGCAGCCCAGCAGCAAAACAAGAGGAACAGCAACAACAAAGACAACAACAACAATTGCTGCCTGCAATCGAACTTCACTAAAACGAACAGCTAATTTGTTATTTTGAATAGAAAATTAATTTTATAAACGAACTAAAAACAATATTTTAAAAGCCCATTTGAATAATAGGCCCATTCAAGAAACCTAAGAAAATTCCATTTGAATTACAATTATTTCCATACCCCGCTTCTACGTGCTAATTCAGACATTGTTCCAGCTGCATCGAAAAACAAAAGTAAATAAAAATAATATTTCCCAAAATTCCTCATATGCTTTGGTGTATGGAGATCGTTATTGTAGTCTGAAATTCGGCATGGAAAATTAAAAAAGAAAGCTAGCTTGCTTATGTGAATGTTTGTTTGCGTGCACGCGATTCTGTCATCAATTTGAGAACTATAGGAATACTATATAATGAAAAAGTCAAATATTTTTTATTTTTTGAATTTCCGCTCAAACTTTGTGGCTGCTAAACCGAATTTCTAGCTATTGTGTTGAATATAATAATCAAGTTTCTTATAAATTACATATTTTTTGTATTTATTTATTTGCAGCAAAAGATTATCAACAAGAAGTTCGTTGCATACGAGTACAAATGTTAATTCTAAAAAAAGAAGATATTTCAGCTATTAAGTTTTACTTCACATATACTTGTAAAATGAATAATTTCTGCATGGGAGTTGAGAGAGAGAGAGTGAGAGGGAGCAAAGTTCGTTATAGGAATGCTGGACTGCACCGTAATTTGTTTGTTTTCATAATGCTGCTTGCATTTTGCTTTGGCCATCGCGTTTTACTTTATTACACTGTGGCAGCATAAAATAAAGTGTTGTTGTAAGACTTGCGCGTGTCTCAGCCTCTGAGCATGTGCACGTGTATGTGTATGCTTCTTAAATACATGGACATATGTATGTATGTACGTGTGTGTATGTGTGTGTGTGTGTGTGTCTGTTGATGTTTTGTGTATGAACGTTTTGGCGTCACCGCTGCCGCTGTTGCTGCAAAGTTCGATGGCAAGGCAAAAAGAAGGTTCATTGTACTTTTTTGGGTCTGCGGCAGTTGTTGGTTTTGTCGTTGCCCGCCTATTTCTGACTGAACATCTTTCTGTCGTTGCTCTTGTTGTTGTTGTTGTTGTTATTGTTATTGTAATGCTCGCACCTCTATCTGGTTTGTTTGTCTTCGTTCGCCCAATTGTTTGTTTTTTTTCCTTTATTTTTTTTGGCATATGTAGGTAGGTCAAAATTTACAATTTTAAGTAGTTTTCATTGTTGTTGTTGTTTCTTAATTTCATTTTGTTGGCGATCGCTTCTTTAAATTGTACGTTATCGTCTGTCTGCTAGCTTTAATTTTCATAGCCCGGCAATTGCTCGTTTCATATAAACATACATAAATATGTAAGTATGTATGTACATATACATATATGCATGTATATCCTCCCATTATGTCTTCCTTTTCGTTTCCTTGAGCCACCCTACAGTACACACACATACACACAAACACACACACAGACATCGTCAAGCATTAAGGGCCAAGGCATGAATGAAAAAAAAAAAAAACAGAGAACGAAACAAGTTGCGAAGCGCAAAGCAAAACAACAAACTGCACAAGGAGACACGAAACAATCGCAAAAGGCGATGAAGGAGAAGGAAGCGACACACCAGCAGCGTCCAAAAACAGGACTGGGAGACTGGAGGCATCGACACCCCAGACA